ATATATATATATATTAGAGATGTACCGATTAATCGGCATCGGCATCGGCTTAATCGGCCACTTTTTGCACAATTGGTATCGGCATCGGTCTTTTCTTATCAAATTATCGATTTTCCAACCGATGACATTTTTATATTTTTATCCCTAAAATTGTATTTATTTTTTGAAAGTTTTCTTTTCATAGTTAAAAAAAAGTAAAAAATGTATATTTATTTGATTGAGCTTTTCTAATATCTTTTAAAATAAAGGTTTGAATCTGATTTGGGTCCAAGTATTTGCTTACCAGTTCTGATTCCATGAAAAATTTTACACAATTTAGAGTTGTATGGTTTTATATTTTTAAATTATAATAGCTAGTTAATCTATCGGTATCGGCATCGGTATCGGCATTTTGCTATCCATCGGCATCGTTATCGGCATCGGCCAAAAATGTGCAATCGGTACATCACTAATATATATATATATATATATATATATATATATATATATATATATATATATATATATATATATATATATATATGTATATATATATATATATATATATATATATATATATATATATATACATATATATATATATATATGTATATATATATATCAGCGCAAAATAATTATTCGAAGGTTATCGATCAACAATGATCGGCTGAAATAAAAAAATTAAAAACCAGACGATCAAATAATTTTTTAGACAATCAATTTTTTATTAAATTTTACTAAAATTTACAATGCATTTTTTTAATCCTACCTCACATGATTTTTGTTTTGCGGTTATAATTTTATAACTTTTAATTAATTATATTTTTATTTATACTCTTTAGAATTTAAGTAAATCGTTCGTTTTGCCGTTATGAATTTATTAATTTTATTCAAAATTTAAGTATACCGTTGGTTTTGCCGTTTTTCTTTTTGTATTATTTTGAGTATATATGAAACATTGCTGTTTTTGTTTTAATTATTTTATTTAGAGTTTATATATATCGTCTGTTTTGTCGTATTTCTTTTTAATTGTTTTAATTTGAGTATAAATTAAACATTACCGTTTTTATTTTAATTACTTTGTTTGGAATTTAAATTAACATTATTTTTGCCATATTTATTTAATTTTTTTATTCAGAATTTAAGCAAATGTTTGTTTAAATTTAATTTAGAATTTAAAAAAACAATCTTTTGCCGTTTTTATCTTAGTTATTTTAATTAGAATTGAAATAAATCCAATGTCATTTTTTTTTTTTCAATTATATTATTTAGAACTTAAATAAATCGTTTGTTTTGCTGTTTTTATTTTAGTTATTTTATTTTAAATCAAAATAAAACTTTGCTGTTTTTTTTTTATACATGTTTTATTTAGAATATAAATATGTTTGTTTTTCCGTTTTTATCCTAATTATTTTATTTATAATATAAATTAATTTTCGATGTGTCGTTTTTATTTTATTTTATTATAAAAAATAAACAAATGGTTTGTTTTGCTGTTTTCATTTTATTATTTATAATTATAATAAAACTTTGTCGTTTTTTTAAGATTATTTTTTTAGAATTTAAATTAGTTGATTGTTTGGCCGTTTTTACCTACATTATTTTATTTATAGTATGATTCATTTCAAAATAATTTTGATGCTAATTAAATTTTAACTTATTGTTTTGATTATTACAAAAGTTTGACTAGAAACTTCTGCTGATTAAATTTGATCAGCCAGATTTAATTTTAGGTGATAAAAAAGTTAATTTTTCCAAAAGTAGACAATCTTTGATCGGCTGCTATTTCGAGCGCTGATATATATATACATATATATATATATATATATATATATATATATATATATATATATATATATATATATATATATATATATATACACAGGCCTTAGTGAGAATAAATGAGCACGAGAGTGGAGAAAAGCTCTCCTAAAACGAACTCGATGTAGCAGCACTCCACTGCGTGTCAGGCTATTTGTCAGTCGATGTATTTATTGAAGCACCCCGCAGCAGGCTGTTTGATGTTAGGTGAGTATGACATCATCATGCTCACCTAACTCAGCAGTATAAGATATACTTGTATATATACTTGTATGCATATTTGTTTTATATACATACTTATACATGAGTTTTTGTTGAGTATTCAATATATACTTTAATATTTTTTTAATAACTCTATTTAATTTCATCAATAAAATTTAAGTTCTTTTCCTTAGTTGTTCAAAGTATCCATAAGGCTACCATCATTTATTCAAAAACTACTTATGTCAACAAAAAACAAATTGCAAAAAATGGTAAAGCAAGTTAAAATAATAATTTGTACCAATGGAAATAATTTTTACTCAAAGTAAATATAATGTGAACCATAAAGGGTTAATAATTACAAAATTAAAAATTATAATTTTTATTAAAATAAATATTTTTGCAGAATATTTATAAAATTATATTTAGCAGAAAATTTAAATTTGTATTTAAATAAAGTGCATTGTTAGTGCACTTTATTTTAAGTACACATCTTTTTATACTGCACTTTATGTTTTTACACAGATTTTTCAAATCACAACCGTTGGTGCATTTTTTGACAGATATTTTTTTTTATGCAAATCACAACCGTTAGTGCATTTTTTGACACAGGTTTTTTTATGCAAATCACAACCGTTAGTGCATTTTTTGACACAGGTTTTTTTATGCAAATCACAAACGTTAGTGCATTTTTTGACACAAATTTTTTTTATGCAAATCACAACCGTTAGTGCATTTTTTGACACAGATTTTTGTGGTAATTGCCATACTGTTAGTCTATCCTCATGTTGGGGAGGTGCTGTAGATAAAAGAGTGTCTGGATATTAAAAAGCTTATCTCCCTTTAGCTTTTCTGTACTTCATAATATCAATAATAGAAAAGTGACAGTAATTGTGATGGTTCTTTATATCTCTATACTCTGGGAACAGCATAAGACATTACCTTTTATCTATTTTATAACCTTCCTGTTAGACTAGTCTGGCAGGTTTGACATATCATATGAGTGGCCCATGGTTTGTCCTGATCATATATAAGCATTCCAAAATATTTTGAGAATGCTGCAGTATCAGGAGAATTAGGACATCCTCGAGTAATCATCATAAAAAGACCAGAACTTATTTTTAGAATGTTACCCGCAATATGGTATCATGATCTTATATAATACCTGTTTTTTGCCAACATCTACATACATAGAAAAAAATATCAATATAATACTCACATACATAGCAAAACATATTAAGATAATATCCACATACATAGCAAAACATATCAATTTTTTATCCACATAAATAGCAAAACTTATCAATATAATATCCATATACATTGCAAAACATATCAATATAATATCCACATACATAGCAAAACATATAAGGAGATTTAGGACATACTCAAGTAGTCATTATGAGAAAAACTTTGGCACAAATGAATATATAATGCGTATTAGATATTAGCTTAAGATGTTTTTAAAACAAATTATTTTGGTCTTGAGCACAAACTTTATGAAAGATCTCATCAGCGGAAACAGAAAACCTTGTATTTAAAGTACCTATTAATGACGTATTTTTTCATTTACAACATACATATAACCAACTGTTTTGTATCTTACTACTTTTTATTTCTCAAGCCTAGACTGCAACCTGTTATGAAATGTTTTGTGAGGCACTGACAATGAATGAGCACTCAGTAGCCAGTTGGCTAAATCTTTATATTTTGAAACTTTGGTATGGATTTACTATTATTCAAATCAAGTATGTTTTATAATTATAGTTTTTTAATAAATTTTCTAAATTAGTAAAGTATGTGTAAAACAATTAAGTAAAAAGTACAATGAATTTATCTTTCAAGTTTTGTACAGATCCACATTTCATCAGTTATTTACAAATTTTATTGTTAGCAAACTTATTTTTAAATAGTACTAAAATATTTATTTGTCATGTTTTAGGAAGACGTTATCCATAAGACGTTACAAATCTACATTAGTTGTTGTCGAGATAACACGTTTAGCAACATTAGCTTCTACCACAACACTAACAGTTCTATAGAATTGTTAGTGTTGTGGTAAAAGATAAATGTGTATAAAAATATTGTGACATTTTTTTTAAATCGTTATGATTTTAAAAAAATATCACAATATTTTTACACTAATGTAGATTTGTTAAACATTATATATATATATACATATATATATATATATATATATATATATATATATATATATATATATATATATATATATATATATATATATATATATATATATATATATATATATATATTTATATATATATATATATATATATATATATATATATATATATATATATATATATATATATATATATATATATATATATATATATATATATATATATATATATATATACTTATTCGAGGTCTGGTCAGAGTAGCCATGGCTGCCAACAAAACTAAGAGGACAGAACAGCAACTTTATGAAATAATTTTCAAAAAATACTTTTTACACAAATTTTATAACCTTTGAAAATACAAAATTGGATATTACCCAACCGGCATCATTGTTAAAACTTTATTAACTCACAATTAGCTATACTAAAACAAGTCAAAAAACCCTTTGTATTTCAACAAGTCTGTTTAAAAAAAAATCATGTTGAAACCCTAATTTGAGTTTTTATTTTTGTATTAAGCTAATACTTTGAGAAAAACATAATGATACGATTATTTTGTTAATAACTTATCATACATAATGTATGGTACGTTATCAACAAAATAAATAACTCTAGAAGTTGATAGTAGCCATTTGGATACTGTAAACAATGAAGGGTTAAAATGTATAATTTATAATTTTGATATTATTATAATTTATCATTAAAATTTAATAATATTAATTCTATACTTCTAAAATTTTGACACTGAATCCAGCATGAACCAAATTTAAAAAATTTAATTTAATAAGTTTGTATTTTTAGTTACATCTACTTTATTTTTTTGGCAATCATTTATTAACTTTATGAATCTTTCAGGAAAAGTTATTGGATAGAGGTTCTGAAGTTGTTATTAAAGCCAAGGTTATTATTTTTTGTTATTTTAAATAAATAAAAATGTTTTAGATTCGTTATAATTGTGTGTTGATTTTTTTTTAAACATTACTTTTTTTAAAAAAAAAAAAAAAAGCTAATGTTTTATTTTAGTAAATATATTTATTTTTTTAATTTACCTCCTCGAGCCCGAGAAGGCCACTGCAGTCGAGGAGGCTACTTGTTTTTTTTTTTTGTGGTTACAACCCTCTCTCAACTCTATAACTCCAAAACACGAACCTCAACGAACAAGGCTGCTGCATGGAGAAACAAATTTAGCGCGGTACTATCGTGGGAGGGGTCTCAGAACATCTTCCTTATGAGGCGAGTGCCCTACCACTACACCGCTATCGCACAGAATTTTTATATATCATCAAACCTTTTTGGAATTAGCTAAACTATAAAGGACTTGTAGTATTTACTGTTGTAACATAAAAATCTTTAATTTATAAATAAGTTATGGGATGAGAGATTTAAATTAATGACACACTATTACCATTTTCTTGATTATATCAGTAAAAGACATAATTCAATATTTTTTACCATGGAAAAGGAAAATTGAATTTAAAATCTCTTTCTTGTACATTAATATAAACAAACTAAATAGTTCCTTATGTACTTTCAATTTTCATTAGGAAATATATTCAGGCCTTCATACCTTCTTTTGTAATTTCTTTTTTTTTTCTCCCCAAATCTAATTTAAATGCTTAATTGATAGAAGCTTTAAAATTAATAATACTAAACTTTTTACTACTCTTTTTTTTATATAATAAACTTTTTACTATGGCATTAATAATCTTTTTTTATATACTAAACTTTTTATTATGGCATTAATCTTTTTAACATTCTTAAAAGTAAGATGTAACAGTCTCAGATTATAATTAAAATTTATAATTCTAATCTTATTAAAAAAACTGTTTCTATTAATCGATATGAATCCATTAACCAAGAAGTCATGAAAAACTCCTTTACACTTCCTTATATTGGTAATATATCTGTTCAAGCCAAAAAGAGTTTAAACTCTATTATTAAAAAATATTGTAAATCCTTTAATTTATTGTAATTATTATATTTATTCTATATGTTATTATGTTTATTATATATATTAAATATTATTGTAACTATAATTAAATTATTGTAAAAACATTTAATTTAATTTTTACCTCTTTCAAAATTTCTATATGTTTTCACCAAAAGATCCTTTTCATCTACAGGTTAAATCATTTGTTGTTTTAAAATTTGTATGCGCATGATGTAATTCCTGTTATATAGGCAAAAGTTCTTGCTACCTCAAAACATGAATGATTAAACACTACAGGAGAGACAAAAACTCACACATATACAAACATCTCCATGCTAACAATGTGTATTAAAGTGCAATAAAACGTTGCTTGGATTCTCATCAGATTCATGCTACCTTGAACGTTTGCCAGCTGACATAATTTAAAAAAATAGGAAGAACTAAATATTCGGTGACAGACTTTGAAAAAAGAATAAAAAAAAAATAGAGATTTTGATATTGTATATTTAAACAAAAAGTTTACATCTTGTAGATTTTCTTGTTGAAAAGAATGAAAATAATATTAACATAGATGCAAATAATATATATAATCATTTTAACAAAGAAATTTGTAAACTTTTGTAAACTAGTTCTGATATAAATACAAAATGCAGCATTGTTGGTTTTGATACTGCAAATAGCCATAATTTTATTGTTATTTTTCATGTATCATGTAGTCCTTTATTATATGAACATAAAAAGTATTCATTTCTATAAAAAAATTTCAAGACTTGTTTTTACAGAAACAAGCAACTATTTATATTGCACTATTTTTTAGTGTGTGAAAAGTTTACACAAGAAGAGGTCATCCAATCTAACAGAATTGTAAAGTGCATATGTTTATTTTGAACAATTGAATGAACGTGTTTAGATTCAAATAAAATTAATCAATTAAATCAAAAGTTCGAGTTATTTGATGAATTTATGCTTTATTTATCACTAGCATTTTAATTAGTTTAATGTTACTTCATACTTAACTTTTAACAATGCTTATGTGCTTAAATATCTTTGTAAAGTTTAATTATTTTTTTTACAAATTTAGCTGTTTATTTGTTATTTTTTTATCTGATTGCAATTTTTCACTTTTTTCCTGTGTATAAAGATTCCTTTGTGTTATCCTTATACAAGTACTAATACAAAAAAAAAAAGTAAATTTAAAAAATTTAAAAATTATTTTGAACAAATAATTCAGAATTGAAATTTAAAATTTCTTTAAAATTATGGATTAAAACTTATTCATAAATATTTTTGTAAATATGTGCTAATTTTATTTGGTTGCAACTTTTTAAAAGAAATTTATATGCATATTAACTTAATATCTTTTTAATATTTTTATTTTAAAAATTTTAACAGTCAATGCTTAAAGAGATTTAATATTTTTTTTACCAAATTCTTTTTGTTCAATTTCTTTTTTTTTTTTCTTTTTCTTACCTGTCAAATTCTTTTTCTTACCTGTCAAATTTTTACACTTTCCTTTGTTTGTTACCTTTTCTTTTTCTTACCTGTCAAATTCTTACCTGTCAAATTCTTTTCTTCGTGATGGCCCTTGGGTAGAAATCTTTCGTCTTCCTGCTGACAAATCTGCTTCTTACATAACTTCGTGGATTCAGGCTGGCATGGAATCTTTTATTCCCTCTCGACGATTCCAGGTCAAGCCTCACTCTTCTCCTTGGTTTTCCTCACATTGCGCTGCAGCAATTTCTAATCGAAACCTTTACTTCCATATCTATCAGCAAAACAATTCTCCAGAAAACAGACATCTGTTCACTATCGCCAGAAACCATTGTAAAAAGGTTTTGTCTGACGCCAAAGCTCGCTATTCCCAGGTCATTAAATCTCGTATCTCATCACAAAAATTAGGCTCTCGAGACTTCTGGAGAATCTTTAACAGTATTAATAATAAGGGCAAATCTGTTATTCCTTCTCTCTTGTATGGTTCAGACTTTGTCACCTCACCTAAAGACAAAGCTGAATTGTTTGCTAAGAACTTTTCATCAATATCATCTCTTGATTCCACTAGTTGCGTTTTACCTGACATAGCCGTCAAACAGGTTGATCCCTTGCTTGACATTCGCATCACCTCAGCTTCTGTATCTAAAGTAATTTCCTGCTTAGACTCTTCAACAGCTTGTGGTCCTGACAACATTCCTGTTGTAGTCTTGCAGAGGTGTTCTCCGGAGCTTTCATCCATACTTTCTAAACTATTTAACAAGTGCTTATCAGAGTCTTGTTTTCCATCATGCTGGAAAGCAGCATCTGTTATCCCTATTTTCAAAAATTCCGGAGAGCGATCTGGTTCATCTAACTACCGTCCCATTAGTCTTCTTCCTGTCATAAGCAAGGTTTTTGAATCTTTAATCAACAAACACTTAATCTCTTATCTTGAATCAAATAACTTACTTTCTGATCATCAATATGGATTTCGGTCTTCTCGTTCTACAGCTGATGTGCTAACAGTAATAACCGATAGGTTTTACCGTGCATTAGATAGAGGTGGAGAGGTTAAGGCTATCGCACTTGACATTTCTAAAGCTTTTGATAAAGTTTGGCATGCTGGTCTTCTCCATAAGCTTTCTTCTTATGGTGTAGCTGGTAACGTCTTTAAGATTATCGAGTCTTTCCAATCGTAGTATAAAAGTTGTCCTCGATGGACAACACTCTTCTTCACATCCTGTAACTTCAGGGGTTCCTCAAGGTTCAATCCTTGGCCCTATACTCTTTTTAATTTACATTAACGATCTTCCAGATATTCTCACATCTAAGGTGGCATTATTCGCTGACGACACTACCATTTACTCTTGTCATGATAAGAAGCCTACACTCTCTGATTGCTTGGAGGGGGTATCTGAGCTTGAAAAGGATCTCACTTCTGCTACAGCATGGGGCTCACAGTGGCTGGTGAACTTTAATTCAGATAAAACTCAATTTTATTCGGCCAATCGTTATCGTAATAATTTAGATCTTCCTATATTTATGAATGGTAATTACTAGATGAGTCATCTACCATTCATCTTCTAGGATTAACTCTTACTTCTGATCTTTCTTTTAAACCGTATATCAAATCCATTGCAAAATTAGCATCTGCTAAGGTTGCATCTCTTTATCGAGCTCGACACTTTCTTACTCCAGATTCTATTCTCTATCTCTATAAATCTCAAATCCGTCCCTGTATGGAATACTGTTGCCACATCTGGGGCAGATCTTCTAATGATGCTCTTTCTCTTTTAGACAAGGTGCAAAAACGAATTGTAAACATAGTTGGACCTGCTCTGGCAGCCAATCTCCAACCTTTGTCACATCGTCGTAATGTTGCTTCTCTTTCTCTTTTCTACAAATACTATAATGGGCACTGCTCTAAAGAGCTAGCGTCCCTTGTGCCATCTACTAAAATTCATTCTCGTGTTACTCGCCATTCAATTAAGTCTCATCCTTTTTCTGTGACTGTTCCTAAGTGCTTCAAAAACTCTTATTCTTCTAGTTTTTTTCCTCGAACATCAGTTCTTTGGAATTCGCTTCCTTCATCTTGCTTTCCTGATTCATATAATTTGCAATCTTTTAAGTCATCAGTCAATCCTTATCTTGCTCTACAGATTTAGTCTTTTCTCTTCCAGTAACTTCCAACTCTTATAGTGGTTGCTTGCAGCCTTGTTGGAAGTGAAGATGTTAAAAAAAAAAAAAAAAAAAAAAAAAAAAAAATTCTTTTTCTTACCTGTCAATTTCTTTTTCTTACCTGTCAAATTCTTTTTCTTACCTGTCAAATTCTTTTTCTTACCTCTCAAATTCTTTTTGTCTCAATGTTTACTCTCATAATATAGTGCTTAATATGATGGAGGGAGCAATTTGTTAACTTTTGGAAAATGTACCCTGAACATATTAAGATTCATTAAATTCATTTGTTTATTAAATTTTACTTACTGAAAAAGCACATTAT